TTCTGGGAACGCGAATCCCCGCCTTGAAGAGGATCACCGCCGCTTCCAACACGATCCACCTGGAGCCGCTTCCTGCTCCCCCCTTCACCTCGGCGGTAGGGACACTTTCCCCAAAGCTCAGGCCTCGGGGATCTTCCTCTTTAAATCGGGGGAAGAAGGCTCCCTAATCCGTTTCGTACTAAACGACCTCGGGCCAAGTCTGCTTTTGTTGCTGGTTTCCTACGCATAATTGCAAAGCAAAGTTAATTTGAAAGAAAAAAATGTTACAGCTCAGGGGCGAATTCTAACGAGCCTTGGGCAATTAGGGAAGAACGCATCTAATTACCCTCAGCCCCCGGGGCGCCTGCACACGGTGCTGGAGTTCAAGGCCCGAAGAGGAGCGAACTGGCTTTCTGAACTCCAAATAGGAAGGAAGTAACGAGAGAAAGAAACGCACCTCCAGTCTCTGAGCTCCCCAGATGAGGGTGTCAGAAGTTCCCTTCTCGGGTTTGGGGATTCCTAGAGTTAGAACGTCCCAAGGTGCTGCTGCTGCGGAGCGGTGGTCTGAAGATCCTAGGGTCAGACGGGCTGCAGTCCGGGTGGAGCACAGTCCCTGCGCGGCTCCCATTCATGCTCCGCCCGGGTGGCGTGCGAGGTCTGGGTGTCGCCTGCCGGCAGGAGACCGAAAAGAGCTGTCTCTCTTCGTGCTTCTCCTAGCCCCTTGGCTGCACGCAATCAGTCTTCTCTCTCCTGGGGCTGACTTTTGCTATTGGCATAATCTCTCACCTGTCGCCCAAACCCACAAGGAGTTGGCGGGAGGGGACGACGAAGACATCCAGTTCCATCTTTTCCCGGGCCTTTATCGCGACGCTCCAGGAGTTTTGTGTCGCGGCGACACATAGACATATATATGTGCATATGTATTATATATGTGTATATACATATATATGTATATGTGTGTATATGTATGTGTGTACACATACATATATTCAGACACGCCTTTCCGCACGTCTATGTCTGTTCCTTTGCAAAGCGTTTCTCACCGGCTTGTCTCGTTTAACTTCAGGAGGTCCCTCTGAGGTAGCAGTCGCAAATTCCCATTTGAGGACGCTAGAGAAGGGACTGGCTTAAGGTTAATGGCATTGTCAAAGCACTGGACTTGGTAATCAAAAAACAAACACAGAAAAAGAGACATCCAATTCCCTGCTAACTAGGTGCAAAAACTGCTCTTTCCAGCTCCCGTGTGGAGGCTCTCCCCAGCCAAGGATAGAACTCCAAGTGGAAGACTCTCAATTTCTGCTTCTGCCATCCTGACCTCTGTGTCTGGGAGAGCCAGTAGAACTGCCATAGAATCCTTGCATCTCATACACGGAAAGGTTCACAAGAAGAGGAGGGAGGCCCCAAATCTGGAGATTCCATGGTCACTGGGCTGGGTGGGTGCTCCAGCTGCCACCTGCCTTCAAGTGGTCATTTACTAAAACCAAAGCCAGGAAGAAACAACACTTTGGCCTGCAAAGACTGTCCACAGCAGTAGCCCTCAGCCACAAGGGGCTAATTCAAAGTTAGACAAGTTGTCAGTGGAAAATATATCCCAATTTTTGAAGACATAGCATGACAAAAGAGTAAAGCATATCAACAATTTTTATATTGAGTACATGTTGAAATGATATTTTGGGTATATTGGGCTGAATACAATATATTATTAAAATTATTCTCACCTGTTTCTTTTATTAGTACAGTTACTAAGAAATTCAAAATTACATCTATGACTTGCATTCTATTTCTATTGGATACCACTGATTTAGACAAATTTCTGTCTAGACTGAACCATGTTCTTTGTGAACAGAATCGTGCAGTCCCCTAGATAAAAAGAAATTATTAATAGTGTTCATACAACCTTCTTCCTACCAAGTTAACTCTGCAGAAAGAGGCCTAGTTTCTCTTGCCAGAACTAGTGCTCAAAGCTTTCTTTCTTTCTTTTAAATTAAAAACAGTCCATCTTACCACTTAGTTTTATCTGAAAGCTTTGAGTGGCACCTCTGACATATTTAATGTTGAAAGCCCTCCCCCACAAATAAAAAATTATAAGATGAGATAAAAGTGGGAGTGTTGCTAGATTTCCTCTGATTTTGGTGAGCCTGTTGCTTACAAACAAAACAATACAAAACAAAGACATCAAAGTTAAAAATCCAGTTTCTTTCAAAGCTCACTTCGTTGACCATCCAATTTAAATGTTCTTTTTGCTTTCTGCATGGGAAGGCTGCTGAGGCAGAGCAGAGGGTGCCAGGAATGAAAGATCTAACCCCAACTATTGAAAGCCATCATCAACCAACCACCCCAGTCCTTTCATCTCTTTGAACGTTTTAGCGTACCCATTGGGTCCAGGGCTGCTTTATGGAAAGAAGCCATGGATAATGGGCAAATGTATTTCTACTTGCCTCACTGGAAAATCAAATTTATGGTAGGGCAGTAATAGCTGTGGGATGACCAGCACATCTTGCTCAAAAGATTCAATGAATTGTGATATAATTGCTTCTTGGAGCTAGTCCTGGGACTTTAGGTGCTTGCTATGATTTGTATCAATTCCTTGAGTGATGGTTAGACTTTGGATTGCTACTTTGAGGCCCTGGGTGGCCCACCAATGCTGCCAAATATGCAGGGTGGCATCCAAGTTGATGGTGTTCTTAAGTCTAATATGGGGGAGGGGAGTGGACTGGGAGAGCCCTGTTGTGTAACAGGGAGACTAAAGGTTTGAAGGTTTGGAATGGAACTGGGTCTCACTGGAGAGCTAAGTGTGGTCTGAAGTTCTCAGAGGCAGGGAAAACCAGCTGGATCAACCAGAGCAGACTTCTTCTATTTAAAAACAAATCTAAAAACACCCACTTTTTTTTTTTTCAAACTTGTCCTTACTTTCAGAAGAAAAGCACTGTCCTGGCCTGTTATTGCAGTAATGTAGTCAAAGGTACAAAAGGCCAAACCATGTGAAAAAGCCTGTTTTGTGCAGCACAGGAAAGGGTGAAGCTATATGACTCCCCACGATTCTGATTCTGGTGTAGACACTGCGCTGTCTCCAACTCCATCCTATATTGCCATGGACCCTCCCTGATAGAATGCCAGAAAGGCCTGTTCTTTGGGGCTTCACCCTCTTGAAGATCCCTTGTGCTAATCCAAAAGCTGCGGGCAGCCTCTCCTCAACTCCCATTTACAAAACAAATCAGTGTTTACACGGTGTGCTAGGAGATTGAGCCTCTCCAGCACTCTTGGTACCTTCCTCGTGGGTCCCAATTCGGTCTTCTTTCTAGTCCTGTCCTCATGTCACGGGGATATTTATTTTGTGTAGACAGCCAAAGTATCTATTCATTTTCGTCCCTATTTTCGGCTCACATGGCGGACACGAACCGATCTACCCCTCCAGGATAGGCGGTGGCATGGCGGGCATGGTAGGCCCCTCCACTGCTCCCTCCCAGTTGCCCGCCAGGATTGTAGCAAGGCCCTAGCGCTCCGAACTGGCCTGGCGACGTGCGCCCGTAGAAGTCCACAGTGGTCTCGACTCCGCCACTGCTGCCACCAGCCGGGGACGAAGCGGGTCCTGCCAGGCGTCCAGCTGCAGCGAAGAGCGCACTGCTGGCGGCTTGAGGGTATGCGCCGTCGGGACCCGTGTAGGCAGCAGCGTAGGTGGAGGGGTTGGCTGGCCGCGCCCCTGCGCAGCCGGTGGTCTGGTAGCCGGTGGTAGTGGCGGGAGCGCCTGCAGAGGCAAAAGCGCAGGAACCGCCAGGCCCAGACGGCGCGGGACCCAAATCTGGGCTGAGCGGTCGCTCAGGAACCAGGCCGAAGACACGGCAAGGGCTCGGAGATGCGGAGGGGTAGTAGACTGGAGGCGGCGCGGCGAGCGATGGCGGTGCATAGCTCGCATAGACCGCACCCGGGTAGGGCGTGCGTGCGGCGGGCACCGCTCCCGGGAAGATGGCTGCAGCGGCG